CCGAGCGTCCCCTCCCCCTTGGGTGGCGGGGTGGCCGGTGGAGCCGCGAGCTGCCCTCCTGCGGAGTCCGGAGTGAAAGCTTTTCTTTCCGCAGCAAGGCGGAGAGAGCAGGGGAGCTGGGCCCTCGTGAGGCCACGTCCCTCCGCTCGCTGCCTGGCTGCCTCCTTTCAGCCTGGTGGGTAACGTGTTAACCCTGGTAGGACTCCCAAGGGGTGGGCCAGGAATGCAAAACCTGCCCCCTCTGCTCGCCCCCCACCTGCGCCTGGTTAGAGACCCCGATTGGAACCAGACCTTCCAAGGCTGGAGAGCAGGGGAGCTGGGCCCTCGTGAGGCCACGTCCCTCCGCTCGCTGCCTGGCTGCCTCCTTTCAGCCTGGTGGGTAACGTGTTAACCCTGGTAGGACTCCCAAGGGGTGGGCCAGGAATGCAAAACCTGCCCCCTCTGCTCGCCCCCCACCTGCGCCTGGTTAGAGACCCCGATTGGAACCAGACCTTCCAAGGCTGGAAACGCCCTCTCGGGGCCAGACTCTTTCCGTGGGGCTGGCACACCCAGTGCGAATGCCTCTCTCCTTGTTCTCCTGAGGGCTGGCTCCTCGGGAGGCGCAAATCAGCATCGCTCCGGTCACTGCAGGGGGGCGACCCCAGTTCACGCTGGCCGGGATGCTGGTGTTTCTTGCGCTGAGGGTGATTGTAGATTTTCCTAGCTAGCCGGCGGCAGCAGCTTGCGCTGCGTCTGATGGATAACGGGATCTCTCCCGAAAGCGGAGCGGACACACGAAGGGGTCCTGCATCCTGTAATGAACGGGGCAGTGTGTGCGGGGTGGAATGAGCACTGCTCAGGTGTGTGTCCTAGATCCCATTGTGCTGAGGGAGAGTCTCCTTCAGCTGGCAAGACCTGGTGCCTTCTGGAGCAGGGAGATCCGAGGCCTGTCCTGACGGTCTGGGACACTGCAATGTGGCCGATAGCGACACCTGAGGGAGGCCTACGGTGGCCCCGGATTTCTGTGAACCTTGAACCCGAGATCCTGAGTAACCTGGAACTGACCGGTCACATGTGTGTAGCCTTAGTCTGGGTGACTTTTGTGGTATTTTTAGCCTATTCCCTGCTATGCCCTGGAGTTCTGGGACGCAGCCAGGACTCAAATAGGAAGGAAAACATGTTTCTCTCACTACATCTCCCGCAGCCCTCTGGCGAGAGAGCCTGTTCCCAGGAGGTCTTGGCCCTGCCTTTCAGGGCCGGCCTTAGGGGAAATGGTGCGCTGGGCAAGCTTGTGTTTTGTGCCCCTGACAGCTGTGGGCAGAGCCCCACCCGTTTCCCATGGCACACATGGGCTCCCCAACCAGTGTTCCCTGTAAGCTGAGCGCTTGGGCGGTCGCACAGGAGAGATTCAGGTGCTGCCCATCTGATTAGCAGAGTGCCCGCAGCCTTCCACAGCTGGCAGCTTGTGTTCCTGCTGGTGGTGCACATCTGCACATGCCTCACATAACAAAATTTATTCCACCACGGATGGAAAAAGTTGGAGGAAACACAGTCCCCAACCCCTCTGCCCCCTTGGCCCCTAGTCCCTGCACTTCCCTCTCACCTGTACCTCCAACTCAGCCCTGAGTTTCCAGCATGTCCCGGCCCCTACCCCCCTGCCTGGTACCCTCCACCCCCTTTGCCCAGCAACACCCATGCCTAGTTGCCCTTCACCTTCCAGCTATGGTAGCATGAGCCCAAAGTGCCGGCCCTGAGCCATCCCTGCTGCCTTTGCGGACCCCAGAGGCCTGGCGCCTTTGGAGAAGGCTGAGAGAGTCCTCCACGCTGCCGCCCCCCGATCCGCCACGTGGGTTGAGGGTCTCCTGTCCCTGCTCAGGGGACTTGCGCCATTGTGGAGTCTGAGGCCCAGGGAACTATGGTTTGGGTGCCCAGGCAGAGGGGCCGGGTGTGGCAGGGGCTGGAGCCAGACCCCTGGAAAGTGTCTCTAGAAGGACTAGTGACAGGTAGGGTTGCCAGCTGGTCTCCCAAAAAATACCGGACATGCTGTATTGTTTTGGTGGAGCAAAAAGAAAAAAGGAACACAGGATAATAAGCCCCCCCGTTCTGGGGCGCCCAGAGCGACGATCGCAACCCCGCCTCCCAGCTGGGACTCCCTGGCTGGGAGGCGGGGCTTCCTGCAGCGCTG